GCTGACAAATCTGTTACACAGCATATTCTGATTTTTGCTTCAGTTCAAAAGTAAAAGAATACATCTTTTTTTTAATATGCAGGCATAAGAAAAAAAGCCCCCAAGTGATATATTTTTGTTGCGAAAAAGTGACGATAAATATGAAATATGGACATATGCAAGGGGACATTGTTAGCCCAAAAACAAAAATGGACGTCAATACGGTGTTGGCGGCGAAGAAGACTGACGAACAAAATCCAAAAATCTCTGCTACTGCTGTCGCTACCGCTGCTTCTGCTGTCTTTTGTCTTTATCCATCCATCCAAGTTGATGGGCTTCCAATAAAATACGGATAAAATGTGGAACCCGAAACAAAAAAAAATGATATCAAAAATTGAAAAAAAGAAAAAATTTTTTTAAAGCTGGAAAAAAGGCTAATTTACATTAAAAGCGTCAAAAATGTTTTATTGATAAAAATTTTTGATTGTATTTTAGACCCAGAAGAAAAAAAAAGCATAAAGACGGATGGAAAATTTTTCTGAAAATCGCACGCCGGGGACACATATGAAAAAGAAGAATTGGTGGATTTTGTTGGCTAATATTTTTGAGTGCCCCCAAAAATACATACCCAACCGGTGGAAATTATATTGGTGCAATGTTTTTCAGGGTGCCCATAGTTTTTGGATTCTCTAAAAAAGACTAATGCATCCCGAAGGTACTATCACTGCGACAATTTCCATTATTTTTATGCTCGCTACTTATCGGTATATTTTTCAGGCAGTTCGAAGGCACCCCGGCAACTCCCGTGAGAGTGCCTTACCACTTTCCACTTTTATCGCCCCTTCCAAACTTCATTCCTTGGAAAAATTGAAACAAATCACACAAATTTTTGCCTTTTACATCAAAACTCCTTATATATATTTATGTGTAGATATATATTTTTTTGCAAGCAAAGGGGAAAGAAAGGAGAGAAAGGAGAAGAGTTTTTGAGTTTTGATGCTTTTCCATATAAAAGAAAAAGACGGGTAGGAGAAGAAAGAAGACAATAGCAAAAAAAGTCTAACAGCATATTAAAAAAGCGAAAAAAAAATTTGTCGAGTATAATCTTTTTCCTCTTCTTTTTCTTCATTATACGTTACTCTATCTTCGCCATCTTCCCTTTCTTTTTCTTCTTCTTTTGCTTCCCTTAACCCATTAGGTCACAAACACTAATTAATCAATATACCAGAAAAAAAATATTTTTTCTTTTCTTATTCAACATGATCTATTTGGGGTTCTGCTTTTTCCGGGTCTATATATTTTTCATTGTTTGTTGGTCATACCAATTTCCATCCTTTTTTTTCGTTTTTTGCTGGTAAGTGGTTTAAAAATTGAACATAAACTTATATGTTTCTTTTTTTTTAACAAAAACAGCAAAACGACAACCGATAAATAAATAGTATTATTATTATGTATAATGATAGTGATAACAATATTAATAACGATAATAATTATAACAGTAATAGTGACAGTGGTAATAATAGCAATAATAATAATTATTATAATAATAGGAATAAGTTTTGCACTAAAATGCCACCAGCTAATTTTTCAGATGATGCTAACTGATATTTTATACGACAGAAATGAGTGAAGAAGAAAAATCG